TGCCTGGAGTGTCAAAGCTTTCTTCTCGGCTGAGCGAACGGTAGCGCGAACACGGTAATTGCATCGCAGGAGTGTCGCTATGCAATGGGCGGCGATGAAGCCGTTCCCACCCGTCACTAGCACCAATGATCCGGTATCGACAGGAGGCATTTTCGATTAGCTTAATTGATGCTTAACATAAAAACGAATAACGATGATTCGAGACCCAGAGTTTCCGGTTATATAGAAAAATTGGATGAATCCGAGCCATCGGATCTGCTTGCGCCGCCGTCAGCCGTCGGGTAGATAGCGCATCATTCACACGCTCATAGCGCGTTTTCATTGTTGCGTAAACTTCCCCACCACGAATAAGTCGATCTTCTCCATTCTCAGGTGTCATACCTTTCGGGAAAAAGCTATGGCCCCTGGTAAGGGATTTTCGTGGGTGATCAAGGAGGGCCCAGTCTTCACAACTCAAAAAGGGACGATGTTGAAAAGAGGACCTAGTTGATTAAGAGGTGTTGCGTGCAGAAGGAAACCGTAATAAACTACTACTATGTTCAATCCTTCTAGCTAAACCTTGGAACTGTGACGGCGAAAGATGTATGCCACGGAAGTGGAGGCAAAACCTTGAAACATGGGGAAAAGCACAACTTGAACGTGAAGATATCTAAACTGGAGGCAGACCGCGATAGTAGGTTGCATGAATGAATGACAGAGAAGAGACATTGACAGTACTTGCTTGTGGATGTGTCGTATGGACCTATTGCTATTTATTTCTGCCCAGATCAGAGTATATACTCTAGGTATCACTTTCCCAGCGTGAATTTGATATGCTCAGCAGTCAACTCAATAAATTCTTTGGCTTGCCATAAATCTGTAACTGGGGTTAGTTTATTCAATTCTCGAGGGTGACAAAAACAAACCGACAATACAGAGGGAGTCACTAACCTTTGTCCATATGCATGAACGGATGAGGCACTCCAGCAAACCTTTTTTGAATGACTTCGTTCCCGCCAGATATGAGTTTCTGGGCATAGGCTTCTCCTTCGTCCCGCAGAGGATCACAGGCAGCCGTATAAATGACAGTCTTCGACAGGTTGGTAAAGTCTGGCGCATCAAGTATGTTTGCATACCACTTGAGGGCGGCAAGTTGGGAGTCTCGTTCCGGGCCTGCCGGGGCAATGCTCTGCCACTTGAGGTTATCGAACCATTTTAATCGGGCCCAGTTCAAGGTAGGTGCATGCTCCATTTCGTGCATCGACTGCCATGGCGTTTCGGATGCTGTCTTGTATTTTGAGATGTCATCCACGGTGGGAGTGCCGACAGCTACTAGTCTAAGAGGGATCTTCGCGTCTCTAGCTAGGTGAGCACACACCAAAGCGATATTGCCACCTGCTGAGACGCCACCAATTGAGATTCGATTGGAGTCAATATTGAACTTTTTCGCGCCTTCGGCGTGAATGTATTGCAATGCAGCAAACGAATCTTGAATTCCGATTGGAAAAGCAAATTCCGGAACGAGGCGGTAGTCAACGTCGATAACGCAGACGTTTGCTTTCATGCAGATGTGTTTGCAAATATGCGATTCCGTGTCAAGGTCACCCAGGCCCCATCCTATTCATTGAATTAGTTGGTGAGATCGAAATACTCCTTCTTATCCCAATAGCACAAACTAACCTCCGCCGTGGAAATCAACGTGCACTGGCCATGGGCCCTCAGAGGCGGGCTCGTACACGCGAACAGGAACCGCATCTCCGTTGTGACCAAGAACTTCTGTGTCATAGACTCGTGCACAATCAGGTGCCGGACCTGTTCCGTATGAATACAGCACAGAATACTTTTTGCGCAAAACTGCAAGGTCAATGGGTCCTGCAGGGGTGCTTGCTGCATGTTCGTTATACAATTGAACGAACACAGGGTCCAGGTGAGGGAGGACCTGGGGGTGGATTGGGTTGAGAGCCTCGTGCGACATGTTTGAAGAAAATGATGATAATCAAAGACGGAGCTTCCAAAATGCCTTATATTTCAACACTCGGGCAATATTGAAGCTATCCAACCGTCGCGTCCAACTTTGCCGACGGTCGGATGCAGTTCAGGATAAACCCCGCACTTTATTTACTGTGTAGGCGACGGTCGGATGCAGTTCACGATAAACCCCGCACTTTAAGGTATCTATGCGACGGTCGGATACGAGTCAAATACTTCCAGCAGATTGGGGTTTTGTTATATTGACAGGAAAGAAGCGGCAGAGGTGGCATTATGCTCAATCAACCGACATCATGGATCCTGTTCTTATAGTGGGTGCTGGTATTGTTGGCTTGACGCTTGGTCAAGCCTTGAAGCAAAACAACATTCCTTTCGAAATTTATGAGCGCGATTCGACACCCGAAGCTCGTGGTCAGGGGTGGGCCATCACCTTACACTGGGCTCTGGAATATCTGTTCAAGATGTTGTCGGAGGAGACTTTGTCGCGCATTCAAGATGTCCAAGTTGATCCCGATGTGGCGAGTAACGACAATGGCAATTTTCTTTTTATAAACCTGGAGACTGGAGAACCGAGATTCAAAATCCCTCCTAATCTCCGATGGCGTGTGAATCGCGAAAAGATGCGACGCGCACTACTGCATGGCATTGAGGAACATGTTCATTGGGGACGACGAGTGGTAGGCCTCAACTTTCCCGAGGACGAGAATCAGGTTCAACTGGTATTTGATGATCAAGAAATCGTCACCGGTAGGCTTGCTGTTGGCGTTGAAGGTAGCCGCTCCATGGTGCGACAAGTGCTGCGTCCGGATGCCTTTGACAATACGCCTATTGGGATCAACTTCACCGGAGTAGCTGTGGATCTCACCCCGGAGGAGATCCAACCGTTACGTGACATGGATCCCTTGCTATTCCAAGGATGTCATCCAACCACGGGGGATTTCTTCTGGTTCTCCATGCTTGAAACGCCGCTCATTAACGGCACGGCAAACACCACAGCCGAGAGATACCGAGCACAGATCTGCATGTCTTGGCCGGAGAAGAGCCCCGAAGATCAGGTAGCGACTACCAATGATGGTCGTTTGGCAAACATGAAACGGCGTGCACAAGGATTTGTGCCTTTCTTGCGACAGGCGGTGGATCGAATCCCAAGTGGAACACCTGTGACTGAGATCAAGCTTGCGGATTGGGAATGTCTTGATTGGAACAACCATAGTGGAAGAGTCACTTTAGCAGGAGATGCAGCACATGCAATGACCATGTGTAAGTGGTTTCATCGTTGTCAAATGAGATAGACACTGACCGTCTTAGATCGCGGAGAGGCGGCGAATCATGGGCTCTTGGATGCTTATCGTCTCATGGAAGCTATCAATCACATCTATAGCGGTTCACTCACAGCCTCCATCGCGCTTGATACATATGAGGAAGAGATGAGGGTGCGCACCCGACGTGCCGTTCAACTCAGCCGCCAGGCTTGCCGAGATGCACATGATTGGGGACGACTAGATGAAACATCAGCCATTTTGACCAAGAGGGCTATAGTGGCAAACTGATATAGTTTCATCTCAAACCAATGCAGCGTTATTTGTGCATCGAATCTGCTCAAGTTGAAAGTGGTAGGAAAGCATCGATGGTGGGGAGTAACTGGTATACAAATCAAATTTAGTCTTGACAACTCTGCCTGATCATATACATGTATAAATCGTCAACCAGTCTGTTAACCCAGAGAGACTCCAAGTTGTCGGAAATGTACTCTCACTTTTGACCAGTTGGCTTGCCGTTTGTATGAATGAATATCCCCGATCACAGACTGGAGATAATTGATCGACTGACAAATATTCTTAGTTCTTTACTTCAACGTTGGCATGAAGACTGTCTACCTTGAGATCGGCCACGAAATCTGCAGCCTCCCACCTATCACAACAAAGAAGGGCAAATATCTTTCGTGGGGTCTCGGTCCCGTGTATTGGGTCATTGCTTTTGTGATCTCCATGTCTAGGTATTCCGCAATTCAGTGCCTTCACCAATTTTGTAGGGGGATTGTTCAGTCTGAACTTCACCTACTCGCTGTTACCAGCCAAATCCTTTAGATAAAAGAGTGCATTCAGACGAAACAACAACTATGAGAAAGGAAAAGAAAGAGAACAAGAAAGAATCCACAGAAGAGTTTTTATCTCTTCTCCCAGTCACAGGTTCTCACAGCTCTCGTATCACACACACTCACCACCCATCATGTGATGCCTGACTCCTGAGCCCTGATCGTCACACCTACCAGCTAACGACAGAGCCGTATAAGTATTGGTTTGATCATTGCTGTTACCAGCCAGTTCTTTAAGATGAAAGAGTGCAATTAGACGAAACAATAACTATGGGAAAGGAAAAGAAAGAGAACAAGAAAGAATCCGCAGAAGGCTTTTTATCTCTTCCTCCTCAAGTCACAGGTTCTCACAGCTCTCGTATCATCCACACTCACCACCCATCATGTGACGCCTGAGTCCTGATCGTCACATCACCCCCCATTCAGATTGCATTCAGTCTCTGGATGCGGGTTTAACATCATCTGGGTGATCGTCCAGCACATGGTCGTCTTTTTTGGCATCAAGCCATTCCTGCAATCGCATAGGGGGACCTGGTTTCGCAGGGTGCTGGTCGTGAAACTCCTTGACCTTCTCCGGTGCATTCTTCAGGTTTCTTGCAGGGTGTGACGGTGGACAGGGACAAGTCATGTGAGCCAGTGGGAAATCAGGAAGGGAAGGAGCAGGGATCGCGGGGAAGTGTATTTATTGTTTACCTCCTGTTCTTCTTCTTCTTCTTCTTACTCTCAGACTTGTTACTTTGTGCACAGTACAGCAAAGGATTGATCTCCTTGATTTTTTTCCCTTTTAAGCTCTCGACAGTAACATAGTAACAAGTCTCATCCTTTTTATCTCAACAAGTGTCCCAGCTGAGTGACGACTGTCGCCTGTCGATAGGTCAAACTACCTGGGCGCTTACCCAACAAAAAAAAAATCCAACCGATCCCACGAGCGCAGAAAATGTCTGCCCCTGAAAGAAAAAGTTCCCGCCTCCGCAAGGAGAAGGAGACCGAAATGACACGAACAACTCTCGTTTTCGAAAACGGAGATGATACCGACAATGAAGGAAACTCCATGGAGCTCACCACCCTCCAGGAGCTGCAGGACTGGGTGAAGCAAGACCCCGAAGCTGCATGGAACGTCATGACGAAGCAACAGAAGATCCTGACGAAGCAACAGGAGGAAATTAAGGAACTGAAGAATGCAGTCAGCAACTCGAACGACAAGGTCAAAGAATTGAATGACCAGATCCAGATTCTCCAGCAACGAGCCACTAGTCACACCCCCGCGGGTCCTGACCAGTTGCTTGAAGAAGAGTATGCACGACTGCGTGAGGAGATGCAAACGGTGCAGAACGAACGGGACAGCTTGGTGGTGGCAATGAAACTGTTGAGCAGCAATCCGGTCTCCCCTGCTTCGGAGCTCGCCGAATTGAAGCCCCGAAAATCTGTCAAGATGCCGGACCCGCCGATGCTAAAGGACGGAAAGGAGGTTAAGTTCATGGCTTGGCGCTCCGATATCAAGAAAAAGCTGCGTTTTAACGCCGATCATTACCCGACTCCGGATCATCAGATGGCGTACCTGAAAAGCCGCTGCGAAGGGAAGGCCCTTTCACACATCGATCCCCGTATGCAAGACGATTCGATGAATCAGTACAAGACAGTGGACGAGATACTGGATCACCTCGAGAGTGTGTTCCATAACCCCGACCGGAAGCATCTTGCCCGAAACGAGTACCTTGCTCTGAAGATGGAGCCAAAGCAGGACTTCACCGACTTCTTGGCTGAGTTTACCCGTCTGGCTGAGGAAGCAAACCAGCCGACCGGCTATATGTTACGCGTAGCCGACTGGTCACTGTGAGTTAGGATGTCCACGGGTTATACTTGCCTAGTCCCCACTGCGGATTCCAAGAGTATCTCGCAACCGTACCGTTGCTATGCAAAGCCTTACGTCGGGTTCGGGTCCTGTTGAGTATCTTGCAGAACGTGCCAGAAGTGCGCGCCAAGTAAGTCAATCACTAAGTGTTACCACTAGGCGAATCCCCTACTTGTAGGTTGGGTTGTCTTGAGGGTGAACTGTGAAGTGCAAAGTACCAAAGGTAGTAACCAAGTAACAATGTGCAATTGATCGCGAAGAACTAAATACATGATAGTGAAATGAGTGTCCTTATATATCTAGTCCTCCTTGATGGTATGTGTGGTATGGCGGTAGATGGTATAATGGTAGATGACTCTTGGCATGTTCTACCCGTATACCCAGCTACCCTTCTACCACCTTGGTCACGTGCGTGGTGGCCGTTTCCTGAGTTGCGCTAACCGTTACGTTGGATAAGCGGGTATTGTTTGTGACGGTTGCATGTAGGTCGCTTCTGGCTCCCTTGTCTGGAGAGCCTCCTTGGGGCCTTCTGAGGCCTGCCCAAGTATACCGAAACGCACGTGAGGACGCTAGTGCCTGGCGTCCGCGGAATGATTGGTTCATGGTTGCCCCTCAAATAGCTGCGGCCCCCGCACCTCTTTGAGGTTCGTAACATCATCCCCTCCTTTCTTTGTCCTTTGTCCTCAAAGGATTTAAACGCTGACTTCCCCTCAGGTATGTGCGCTGTTTTTCTGTTTTTTCGTGTTTTTCCCCTCCGTCATGTTCCCCCATCATGCCTAAACGTAAGGCTGACTCTGTCCTCGAAGGTATTCCCAAGCTCCCCGTTGGTCGTGACCAAGTCGCTGGTCGCGTTCGTCAAGCCGAGTATATTATTGCCAATAGTTTTATTGCTTCGGTGCCTTGTGATTGTTGCCGCGAGTCCGACGAAGAGTGCGTGATGGATCGGAGTCGTCGTTATTCGAAATGTGCGTCATGCACTCGTGCTGGCCGGGTGTGCAAACGGGATTTCCACACCGGTCGCGAATGGGATTTGTTGCGTCGTGCGGAAGACAAACTATCTTCCGATATTGAAAAGAATGAAGATGAACTCGATTTGTTGGAACCCGAGTTGAACGATCTGCAGTCTCGCCTTGCGGAGCTGCATCAACAGTTGTTGAATAAACAAAAACAATATCAGGAGGCCATGTCAAGGCAGCGTCGGCTGCGTAAGCAAATGGCTTTCTTAAAGCAAAAGGGTTTCAAAATGTCGGAAAATGATGCCGAATTGTTGCGAATCCTGGATGAAAAGGCGACGTCCCCCGAGCAGGCTGCTTCCTCTGCTCTCGATGTTCAGCAGTTGGCTTCTACTGCTGAGAATCCGAACTTTGATCAGATGTTTCAGGAGATTGCTCAATTCCCTTCGTCCTTCTGGGATGGTTTGAACGTCTCCGGCTTGGGCGGCGATTCCCCGTCTCCCGTTGGTGGAATTGTTGAACCAGCTGGTGGCAGCCCATTAGGTTCTCGATAGGTTCCCATGTATTTTCCGAGGTATCGTATCCCTTCCATTTCACCAGGTAGTGAGGCTTTCCACTGATTCTGTTTGTGTCCAGAATTTCCTCGACCTCGTACTCGTTTTCTGTTTCCTCCTCGATTTCCACATCGGTAGCGATTTCGGCGTTTTTGGGTGCTTTTTCCAGTAACGAGACATGAAATGTTGCATGGATGCGTCGCATACTATCAGGTAGCTTTAGACGATAATTGAGTGATCCTTTCTTTTCTGCAATTTCGAATGGTCCCAATTTGAGATGGTCGAGTTTTGCGCTGGGTCGTCTGGTGCGAATGTTGCGTCGCAAGAGGTAAACTTTCTCCCCCTTTTGAAAATCCGGCGCCTCCTGGCGCGATTGATCGTAGTAGAATTTCATGCGCATGTTGAGAAACTCGATATCCCTTGAAAGCTGTAGGTGAAGTTGCTTCAACCCGGTCGCCAGTAGTCGAGATGACTCTGCGAGCGGTTGTTTTCTGATTGGTTCTCCGATAATAGTGGGATTAAACCCATAATTTGCGAAGAATGGTGTTTCCTTTGTGGTTGCGTGCATTGCATTGTTGTATGCGAATTGTGCCATTGGTAGCAATCCTGTCCAGTCATTTTGCTGGTAGTTTACGTAGTGTCGAAGGTATTGCTCCAGAGTCTGGTTGACTCGTTCAGTCTGTCCGTTGGTTTGCGGGTGATACGCGGTAGAGAGTCTATGCTCAATGCCGAGTTGGTCCGTCAATGACTGCCACATGTTGGATGTGAACAGCTTGTCTCTGTCCGAGGTAATTTTGCTCGGTGTTCCGTGATTGGTGAATACGTATCTGGGTAATATATTGGCCATTTGTCGTGCATCAATGGTTTCCGTTGTTGGTATCATGTATGCATATTTAGTCAGTCGGTCGACGACTACCATGATCATGTCGTTACCCTCCGAAATGGGTAGTTTCGTGATGAAGTCCATTGTAATCCATTCCCATGGTCGTTTTGGTACTTCTGCCAATTCCAATTCTCCGTATGGTGCATGTCGCGATGCTTTGTTTCGTTGGCATGAGTCGCATTGTTGAATGTATTTTTTGACTTTTCTGTGTAGTGCTGGAATGTAGTAATTTCGCGTAATCTTTTCGATGGTTTTCTCAATGCCAAGGTGTCCTTGTGTGGGTTCGTCGTGGTGCAATTGGATGATCTCAGTTTGGAGGTTCCCAGGAACATACACCAGGCCATGGACATGGACTAGACCATTACGCATTAGCGCAGTGTTGTTGCCTAGAATCTTCTGAAGTGACTCATCGTTTGCCGTGTTTTCTCGAATTTTCTCGAGCCATTCGTCGTTCTGTAATTCGCTGGTTGCTGCGAGGATTTGGTGGTTATATATGATGTGCCCTTCGCTGTCCGTGGTTAGGATAGCGGGTACTGCCTCCTTGGTCCCGAGTTCGTAGTCTGGGCGTCGACTTAGCGCGTCCGCTACTGTGTTCTCAGTTCCCTTGCAGTGCACAATCTTGAAGTCGTATTGGGCCAATGTTTCTGCCCATCTTGCTTGTCGTCGTGTGAGTTTCTTCGTCGTCGTGAAGTAGGTGAGGTTGTGGTGATCTGTCCTAACGATCACAGTGTGCTTGGCTCCTTCCAAGTACGCTCTCCATGTTTGAAACGCTGACACTATAGCCAACAGTTCCTTGTCGTGAATGTCGTAATTCAATTCTGCCGGTATCATTTTGCGAGACCAGAAAGCGACAGGTCTGAGCTTGCCGTTTTGTCCTGGTTGCATGAGCTGAGCCCCGAGCGCAAAGTCCGATGCGTCGGTCTCCATGATGATAGGTGCGTCGTAATTGAATGTTGCGACAATGGCTTTTCCTGCCTCCTGATTGTACATTTCCTTGAGTGCGGTGAATGATTTTTCTGCTTCGTCATCCCATTTGAATGGTATACCCTTTTTGGTGAATCGGTAAAGTCCTGCTGCATGTTTCGAATATTGTGGGACTAACTTTCGGTAGTAATTGGCGAGTCCAAGAAAGCTTTGTACGTCCTTGACGCATGTCGGGGTCGGCCAATCAAGTATACTTTTGACCTTGTCTTGTTCCATTCCGAGTCCGTCGGGACTAATGGTGTATCCGAGGAAGCTGGTTTGTTGTACGTGGAATTCACACTTCTTGAGTTTGAGCGTGACCTCAGCCTCCCTTAGTCGTTGCAACACCAGTTTGTTGTGTTCAACGTGCTCGGCCTCCGTTTTCGAGAACACGAGGATGTCGTCGAGGTACGCGATGACGAACTTGTCCAAGTATCCTTTCAACACATCAAAGATGAAGCGTTGAAATGATGCAGGTGCGTTGGTGAGTCCGAACGGCATGACGTTGTATTCGAAGTGTCCGAACTTGGTCCTGAATGCCGTTTTCCATTCGTCTCCTTCCTTGATCCGGAGTCGGTTATATGCGTTGGTTATGTCGTATTTGCTGAAGTACGTTGCTCCTTGAATGACGTCCTGGATTTCGCTGATCAACGGTAATGGATGCCGGTCCTTGATGGTAACGTCGTTGAGTTGTCGGTAATCAACGCACATTCGGAGTTCTCCTCCTTTCTTGGGTACGAACAGGATCGGATATCCTGCTGATGACTTCGAGTGTTGAATGTATCCTTTGTTGAGGTTGTCCTTGATGTATTCTTCCAGTGTCGCTGACTCTTTCTGCGACAGTGGGTAAATTGGCATAAACTTTGGTTCCTGGCCGTCCTTGATCTTGATCTCGTGGTCAAACGGACCATGCTTTGGTAGCTTACCGTCCGGTGGTGGCGTGAACACGTCCTGGAATTCCGCGTATTCCTCAGGGATCCTGTGTTCTTCGTCTGGCGCTCCCGTGGCGTAAAGGGATGTTTTCTCATTGCTGGCGAGGACGTATTCTCCGAGTTCCTCGTCTGTCATGTCCGGCCGTTGTTCGGTCGTTGCGATGTCCCTGATATCGGTTGTTTTCTTGTTGGGCCTGCCTCCTGGCCGAAAACTCCTCTTAAGTTCTCCTTCGTGAGGGTTTCCATGAGTACCTGCCTCCCCTTGGCTAAGTCTCTTCAGCGTCTTTGGTCTGCATCCGGTCCACCTCTCGCTCGTCTGTCGGCAGTCGCATCGAAAGAGTATGTTGTTGGTTTGCCAGTTGATGTCGGGGTTGTGCTTCCTTAACCAAGGAACGCCCAAAATGATATCATACTCCCCGAGGGGTGTCACGTCAAAATTGATGACTTCGAAATGGTCTCCGATAACCATTGGCTTAGGGCTTAGGGCTTAGGGGCTTAGGGCTTAGGGCTTAGGGCTTAGGGCTTAGGGCTTAGGGCTTAGGGCTTAGGGCTTAGGGCTT